AGCAGGCATTCAGCATGCAATACACATCTATAGAGTAACTGGGCTATCTCTATCATAGACTGCAAGCAGGCATGCAGCATGCAATACACATCTATATTATATTCTATCATCCAGACTTGATAATGACAAATTGTTAGGATTTCTATGGGCACACCAATCTCAACCTCTGCCCATGCACAGGAATCCTAAGGACTCACTGTGTTGGGTCTAGAGGGAAAATTGAGACTGCTCCCGGTCTATCACAGTCCAAGCTTGATATGAATGGACCAATTTTCTTTATTATGACATTTTATGCCTATATTTCTCGCATTCACTCATTTATTTCTTTTTAAGATGGAACATTGTCTCCAACGACAGCCAGAGCTTGCAATTTTTGGGAATTTAGCTGTTTAAATGGAAGATGCGTCGATCGATTTTTATGTCAGGATGGAGTCAATGACTGCGGAGACAACTCTGATGAGACAAAATGTGGTATGATTTTATGTCTGTTTTCTGATAGGCTTCTCATAAGTCGACCTCTTTTGTCTCTCGACTGATACCATAAGTCGTAGTTCTCGCTCCTTTGTCCCTGAGGGTCGCTGAACCCATTAGCGACAAAAAACAAAAACAAAAACAAAAAAACAGAGAGTGAACTGGACCGACTTGAATCAGTTGCTCGCCAAGTGAGTGAGCGAACGAGGTGTCACAGTGTTGCAATAAAACAACTGATCCTTTGATAAGTGCATCATATCGACACAGTGGCAAGGGCCTTTTCATTTCCTTGCTTGTGCCTTTGATTGCCTTCTGAAGTGACTTGGTTTTACTACACATCATCACAGACCCAAATCAAATTTTGAACTTATGAACGTTTCAGCCAAGAAATCTATGGTTTGATAGTCGAGGAGTTTACGTAAAAGAAAGCTAATGCGAAAATGGTTTTGGCCATTCAAAGTTTGAGAAGGAAAAATGGGTCGAGTTGGCATTGCAGTGTATTATGGGATTTTTCATTGTACATATTTTCAAGATGGCTTCTATTTCGCCCCCCAAACCAGTCCCACAATGCACTGCAATKCCAACTGGACCCATTCTCCCCCTCAACCTCAGAATAGCTAATTGATTACGTAAGGGACAAACCAACAAAAGCATCATTTGTCTTAATTGTTTTAGTTGTCAGTACAACTGCTCCCCTGGCATGCCCAACAGGATGGATGCATTGCTCAAATGGCAGCAAATGTGCTAAAAAGTGTAATGGAATATCTGAATGTTCTGATGGATCCGACGAGAAGGGTTGTGTGTTTACCAGTAAGTGTAATAAATAATAATTATTATAATTATTCAAATTACTTTTCCCGTCGTTTTTGATTGGTCAAGACTACTTGACAAACTTGACATGTAACCCGGAAAATAAGGCATAAGGGGATTTATAAACAGGGTCTATAATGCTTGCATATTTCCATTCTAAAGCAGAGCTTGGGCTACCTGTGGTAAGTTTTCCCAATAATCGTACGGCCCGACCTAACTCAGTCAATAAGCATTTTATCATATGACCCTAAATAAAAAAGATATTTTAAAAGTTGAAAATTATGTCAATACGGTCGCAGGTTTCGAGGAGGGCCCTGCTCGTTCAAAGCCGTACGGCCCAGCTCACGCCATTTTCCCGAAGGTTTTTTTAAGAGCGCGCGCCCGGGCAGATACGGGTCATATGATAAATGTTCTTATTCATGAAGAACATTGCTTATGTGATTTCTCGATAATCATAATTCCCGGAATAAATTTGATACTTCCGAACTGATATCTTTGTATTCTTAATTACATTATCAAATGTCCTTTGTTTTAGCGGCAACTTCACCAACAAGCACATGTGCTCTGAATCAGTACCAGTGTGGAGATGGAAGCTGCGTACCTAAAAACAGTGTGTGTAATGGGGTAGTAGAATGTCACGATCATACTGATGAATTAGGTTGTGAAGGAGGTAAAATGATATCTCATTAGATTCGAAAGTAGACAATGCTGCCTTAACTACGGTTTTCCATATTCTGCGAACTAAGGCCCCGTCCACACGCATCCGGAAATTTTTGTATCCGCAAWTTTTTTTGCGGATACGGTTGCGTCCACACGTGTCCGGAAATTTTTGTATCCGTATCCGGAAATTTTCGAAAACGGTCTCCAGAGTGAAAATTTTCGAATACGCTCCGAATACGGATACGTGTGGACGGTCGTATCCGCAAATTTTCGGATATGATGACGTAAACACGATTTTGCGCATGCTCAATAAGGAAAACTATCCATCAAAGGGACTAGGCACTAGCGTGTATCAGGGCGAATCATGAAATTTCCAGATACGTGTGGACAGTGAAAACGATTCGAAACGATTCGAATACGCTGCGTGTGGACGCGAAAATTTTCGTATCCGCAAAAAAAAATTTTGCGGATACAAAAATTTCCGGATACGTTTGGACCGGGCCTAAGACAATCCAACGCCTTGTTGTGAAATTGATTTTTCACTGCCGCCCGTCAAGAACATGAAAGGCATCGACTGATTATTTTTRATTGACGGCAGCGAAAAGCCAAATTTCAGGGTGCAGCTCACAACTACCGAGTTCGCAGAATATGGCGGGAACCACAGTAACATTCTGGTCGTCTTTCCCGAAAGCTCGATAATATGCGCAACATCTTTGCGTTGCAGGTTGCAGAATAAATGTATGTTGCTGGTATTAACACTTCGAGTACGATAAATTCTCATTTTTTCTCTGCCCTTTGCACCAAAGAAATCTTGTTGCGCGCGGGGGGAATACGGGCAGTGCTCAATATCTTGTAACGCAACATTGTCGCGTGACATGTTGCACTAGTTCCCTAAATGACCGCATCTTTACCAGATAACCATGCCACATGACCATTTAGCATTTGGCATTTTTATCAGCAATAGGCCCTTTGCGGTTAACGGTCACGTATCTGTACTGGTGAGCAAAATTTTTGTTTTTGTTTGAAATTGGTGATTCTTTTTAGGTACTTGTAGAGAACTGAATGAAAAGATGTGCAACCAGTGTGTTACGAAATGCAGTTTTATTACGATCTCTCGAAACAGGTTGTAGAAATTTTGTTTGCTCACCAGTATATTTCACCCATGGGAATCAAGATGTTCATTCATTTGCTCTCAGTGAATTAAACAGCACGTGATTACCGAGCTGCAAAGGGTCTATTTTTATAGAGCGAATTGTTCAGTACTATACATATCCTGAACGAAGCAGTACTAGTGTGTACATCGTACCTACCTCTGGTGGACCCTCACGTCGTGGCCCCAAACGCATCTGGTGGCCCCATACATATACGTATCCTGAAAGATACAGTGCCACTGTATTGACAAGATAGCAATACTACTATGTTCTTTTTTTWAAAGGATCAATGCTTCCTTCAAAATGCTTGAATGTTTCGACCAGTCAATTTCTGTGTGATGATAACACAGTATGCACCCCGCTTAGTCTTCGCTGTGATGGTTATCATGACTGTAACGACAAAACAGATGAGCTGRACTGCGGTGAGTAGGAATGCTTAATCTTATTTTCCGCAAGTAAGTGCTAACTTACCACAGGGAAACTGGTTTAAGGTGTACCATAACGTCGTCTTGCATTGCATTTGTGCTGAATTTGCTCGGTTTTTTATATTACTATTTTGGTCTCAGAGTATACAAACATTTGAGAAAGGAAGATTTTTCGGAACATATTACCGATACTACTGTCTGGAGTACACAGTGTCGAATTCATTAGGCACCGCTGTGTTCCAGGGATTACAGCCTCATTTACTCAGGGACAGACTCACTTCAGTGTCAAAGTATTCACAAACACCAACGTTTAAGTAAAGAATGCACACTTTAAAAATACAAGCATTTGAAATTCTTCGGATCYGCACTGGAACGCATGAATATTCTACAGAAAAATCGAAGCTTACCCTGAGCAACAGTATTAGCAGGGTTGAAAAACGCACGCGCATGCGCAAAAATGTGCAATAAAACAAACATGGCCGCTGGAATATTTCGCATCTCACACGAAAATTGGGCGAGGTTTTAGTACAAACATTWAAAAAGTTCTACATACAACAAAAACAAAACTTAGGCATTTATTAATTGATCAAAATACATGTTTACTTAACTTTCAAGAAATGGACTCTACGTTTTCTGATTTTGGGATTTTTTATGCATTTTGTTTACCAAGCGGGCTTTTTTTTTTAACTCCCACGAACTTGTTTAAAATGGTAAAATGGTATCTGAATAGATGAATTATATACGAGGCTAAGCCTGTACAACTGAGTATGTGGTGTTGATAAACGGGATCCATCCAATTCGAAACTGGTGTAATTTACCTCTAATTGTGATTGTGCATATGTTTATGACTTTTCAGACAACACTCTTGCAATAAGCTTAGTCCAGACGATTACTAATGCAAGCACTTGCTGTGTTTATATATCCTGGACACTAAAAAAGGAAGGCTTGACAAAATGGTTCAACATAACAGGGCACAAGATTTCCTACTGGTAACCATATCTTGTTAAAACAAATTAGCTGAAAAATGTACTGCAGCGACGAGTTGTTGCGTGACCGTCACGATGCCAGTGTTCTAATAGCGCAGCGCACTGATTCTAAAAATAGCCGATAAAGATTCGGACAAACATTGCATTCTGTTTAAGCGCTACGAGGATTATACGAACCTATTTTATTATTTTTACTTAAAGTTACAATAATAACCCATGTAAACTAAGATCAACTGCGATCGGCTGTGAAAATTATCTGCTGAAAGTAAACTTGTAAGTTTGTTTGTCCGAATTTCGCCTTTGTCTTCGTTTTTATGACTTCACGGTTGCGCTGCGCTATTAACGATTACACCTGCAGCCCGACTGAATGGTCCAAAAAAATGGTGAAAAAACCATGAGGCCGAATGCCCATTGGGTTATTGACTCGTAGACCATGAGGGCGAGAGGTCAAATGTTTTAGTCTAAACCTACTAATCGGTCGAATAAATGGATTTTTTTTTTGACATTAGGTTGAAAACGCAAGTTTTACTCGGCCACTATTGTTTTGGTTTAGAAACCGGCTCTTTTCGCTGCTAGGAGCTATCACCAATAGACCAATAGTAGCTCAGCCAATTAGAGCGCAGGATTTGTGATAGACCATTAGTACCAAARACTACCAAAGGCCTTAAGGACGGCGCGCGCAAAAAGAGCATTCTCTTTGTTAGAACTTTTGAGATTGTGATGTGCTGTATATCTGTTTTTTTCGCTTGATAAAAATCTAACTATAGATGAAATTGCGATAGAACTGAGTCCATAGGACTACTTGGACGATACGGCGGCCATTTTGGGAAAGCATGGGCTGCGTGCACCACTCGTTGGTTCTCTCATGTGCTTCGAGAGTTTTTCTCTCACCAATGCGACCCGGTAGGTGATGTATGTGAGTAGAGTTGTTTGTTAGTTCTCTCATGTGCTTCGAGCGTTTTTCTCTCACCTATGTGACGCGGTACATGATGTATGTGAGTAGAGTTGTTTGTTGGTTCTCTCCTGTGCTTCGAGGGTTTTTCCTCCGGGTTCTCCGGTTTTTCCTCCCTCCTCAAAAATCAACTTCTAAATTCTAATTCGATCTATCGGCTGCCTTATCAGTTGGGCAGCAAAAACTGTTAGGTATTAAGCCGTCCACCCAGGAGTGGTAAACGCATTAGATCTTGCCTGGGGGCAACAAAACACAGCAAAGATGACGGAAAATATAAAGGAGTTGTGATTGTCTTTCTTTTATGGGTAAAGCAGAACTATGTGACCTCTTAATTCATCTTTTTTGTATTCTCTTGTGGTGAGCTGTTAATATCAATCGACATCGTTATTGTAATAAAGCTTTTTTTGCGCCATGGACTTCCAACAGTGCCTTGCGATCCAAGATGGCCGCCGTATCGTCGAAGTAGTCCAGTCGGCCCAAAATGTAATTGTGTATAGTAACTGACGTTTGCTTGTATGTTAGGCCCAAGGTTTTACATGGGGAGGACATTGATCAGATTTCTGCAAGCAAGTACAACAAGACACTTTACATGGGTCCCCCAAGTTCCCATGTATTTAGAGACCTTGAAATCTGTTCTGAGTACGAGATCCAAATACGAGTGTTAGGATCTCGATTTTATGGACCATGGACGGAGCCTGGAAAAATCAAAACCGCCGTTGCAAGTAAGAATATTTGTCTGTCTGTCTGTAATGATGTTTCTCTTCAGCTTGGGCGTAATCTTTTCCTATTTTAGGCAACGATTCTTAATAAATGCGAGCACTGCGTTTATTTTCTGCCAGAATGGAAATATTTTCTTTGGGAATAAGATTATTTCTTCGAGTTTCATGCATATCATCAACTTTTCTTACTCATGGTCCTGTTATTACACGTTGAAACTTTAGCTAAAACTTGTGTGCAACGGTTTTGTGAGACGGGTTTAACAGGGGTGTTACACGGCGCAGTTTCATCCAGAAACTTGTTCGCGACACGAGTTTCATTTGCACTAGTAGAAAGCAGTTCTTCTTACCGTGAAACATTCTCGGGACGAAAGTTTCACAAAGCCTAAATTGTGCCTTGTGACACCCCCGTGAAACTTCTCTCGCAACGTCATTGCTCGCAAGTTTCAGCTAAAAGTCAGAATGTGTAACAGAGCTCTAAGCATTACCTCGATATTTATACTCAAGACGTCAGTGGTTTTTAACTGGAAAAAACGCCAAAGCTAAATTCTCTGCATRTGATTCTATTTTCTATCCTGTACCTATTATATTTTAGGTTTTGTAAAGTTGTTTTTAGTTATCATAATTAAAGGGATTTTCCTAACACCATGAAACACTGTCTAGTAGTTAAAGACCGTTCATTTTTCTACGGACATTGGGGCAATGTATTACCTCTTCCCACTCCCTCTTCCCTCTCCCCTCCCCCTCCCCCTCCCCCTCNTTTTTTTTCCTTCTTCTTGTATGTATCCAAGTACATATTTTGAGCTATAAGCCTTTCATTTCATTAATTCAAGCAGCCAATTCTAAATTACCTAGTTACCAGTGAGATTTGCAATTGTAAAACAAAAAGCTTCAAAATAAGTTTTCCATTATTACCTGGGGTCTGGTTCAGAATGAACATCAGGTTTTATGGATGGTTTTGTATATTTGATCATTTTCAACTGCAAGATCGATCATGATATGCACACATCATTTTTTGTTGCTCTGATCGTTGTACGCTAGGCTTTATATATCTAAGCATTTTACGAAATGAAATTTAAAAAGCTTGATCAATAAGGGATGGGCTATAGACCCTAGTATACTCCACTACTTTTCACGCTCCCCTCCCCTCCCCTCCCCAATCACTACCACTACTACCACCAACCCCACCCCCTTCTCAACAAGAGAAAACGCAGGTAGAACATATAACAACAGCTGTTGCTTTCTCTCGCTCCCCTCCCCTCCCCCTCCCCCATGCCGGTAATAAACGAACGGTTCCTTTATAAAAACGGTAATCTATAATATTTAATGAGTTTTAATTTGACCTTAACTTTACCCTGCAGAAACCAGTGCACCGCTTGACATAGGAACAGTGAGAATCAGCAACACCTCACTACAAGTGAAGTGGAGTGCACCAAAAACAATATGTCAAAAAATAACCATGTACAAGGTAAGAATAGTTTTTTATGCATTTTACCACAAACTATTCATTTCTCGCGCGCTAATTGGCTATTTTTATGACCCATAAGAGGACAGACAAATAAGCTGACGTCAACGAGCGCTCTCTGTCAGTTGGCTTTTTTCATCACTAAAAAATGTCGAAAAATGCGTCTTATTTAATGTTTTTGTGGTAAAAAGTGAAACTCGCTCGTGGTTCCACTTGGGTTTGGATCATATGCTGACGCCATTCCAAGTTCGATAAGAGTACAGACCATAGAAAAGGGACCTCGATTTTCTAACTGATGGCCAACTTTAGAGTTGCCATAACGTCCATAACATCGAGTTTCGTGGTCAACCACAAAACATTTTCGAGTCAAGGCTCCGGGGAAACTAAAATGTAATTATAAAGATTCTTTTGTTTTCCTTGAGTCTCTAATTGTATTATTTTGTGCTTAATCACCCATCCAGAATATCGAGAGCTAGCTATTAGCATAAGGACCAGAGCTTTTACGTATGACGTCAATCGTATTAAAAAACTACTTCCTGGTCCAAACTGCAAAAGCAGTTCTAAAAAGATTATTCCTACCTCTTCTTCATGACAGGATTTTTTGTTCAAAGTTGTAATTGTGTCATGTAGAGGTTAAATCATTGAGAACATTTTTCACTGTATTTTAGCGGTTGTTGTGAGAAGTTGGACCCGGAAATACGTCACAACTTAAAAGCTCTTAAAGAAGATTTTGTATGCCTTTTGAAAACGCACAGTCAGAAGTCTCGTACCTTACCGTGACGCTGCCTTGCCAGAGGCCTTACCTATTGAGTAAACATTTAGCGATTAGACATTCCGAGGTCGAGAAAAAACCTGGGTCGATTTAGCATTGCAGGGCATTGTGGGTCTGATTTAGGGGACGACATTGACGCCATCTTGGAAATATGTCCCCTATAGCAGTTCCACAATGTACTAAATACAGTTTTTACATCCATATTGGATTCATTTCCCGTTTGTCCGATTTCTTTTTACGGAGCAGTTATTTTGTTTGTACTGTTTAGGTAACGTATTTAAACAGTACATGGAACGAAACCCATCTAAGCCATGACCGTAAGATAACCATAGAAGACGTCGATCCTTTTCACAATTACACTATAACGGTATGTTGTACTAGATTATGAGCCTATATGTCATCAAAGCTTACTGAAACTAAAAAACATAGACAAATTACGACTGCAGGGGGAGGGGGGGGGAGGGGATTTGTAGTAATCTTTTCAAAGATGGTCGTAGTCCTCCCACTTCACTCAGTAAGCAATTCATGACCCTACTATTTAGTCATGGAAAAAGCTTTCGTTAAAATAAGGTTTGACTCTCCATAAAAAGTTCAAATTTTTACTGATCCCCCCTCAACCATTGAATGAGCAGCGTCTCGTGTATTAGGCAGTCCAGCTTCCCAGTACATTTTTTAAGATAGTAAAATGGTTGTTCAGGTCAGGGACGTCCAGGAGATACTGCTCATTCAAGCAAGGAAGGATATAATAGTAACCAATAAATGTTTTCATTCCACAAGGTGGTTGCCCTAAGTACAAAAGGTGATAAAGTATTTACAGGCATACCAGCAACAGCTTCATTTACTTTTTCTTCACCCCTGCCACATAAATGTAAGTACTGTAAACACACGGTGCTCACACACGTAGCGGGCACACGGTGCGGGCAAACGTAGCGGGCACGCGGTGTGAGCCCGCAGTGCAGACATAGTGCGATGTGCATACGACTTCGCACCCCATACACCCCAAAAAAGAGTCTTTTTCATGCAGCGTTGCAAGCGTTGTCACATCGTGTGCCCAGACCGCTAATTTGCGGAAACACG